AAAAAAAAAAAATAAAAAAAAATAAAAAATTGCTTTGGTGAGCAAATTGACAATGCTTAATTTAAATTGCATTTTACAGTTAATCAATATGAAGTTGTCTATCAGAAGCATCAGTTGTTCACTGGATAAAGATATTTGCCTTCAAGTACATCACTTAGTTTCCCTTGTACATCTCTGGTCAGTCTCCACTACAAGTAGGTTTCCCCTAGCCCCAACCTTTAAATGTTGGGAGTGCCCCAAATCTCTGTCTTTGGTTCTCTTTGTCTACAGTCACTCCCTTGTTGATCTTATTCAATCTCATCATTTTTAATAGCATCTATGTGCCAAAGACTCCCAAATTTATATCTCAAACTTATACCCAAAGGCTTATTGCCAAAAAATGAGCAACCAAAGTTAAAAAATTAAAAAAAAATATATGCCAGGCAAGGGGAACACTTACTAGTAAGGAAATTCACTGAATAGTTCACTACGGAGAAAAAGGAGATTTTAGGTCATGGGAAGCAGAATGTAGCTTTTGCCAATTAAAAAAAAGAAAAGAGCCCAATGCATAGGAGTCCATAAATGTATACACAATCGATTAAGACAAATTCCTTATAAAACTGGTTCATTAAGGGCCTGGAGTGCCAGACCCTTAGTTCATAGTTTTTTAATAGCTTTGAATAGTTTAGAATGGCTATAGTGAAAATAGCCTTCAGTTATGATATATTTCAGTCCAGTGCTACTATGAGTATGTGTATAAGAAAATTTTACTCTTAAACATCCCTGCAGTAGAGAACTTAAATATATTTGTGAATGAGGCTCCAACTTGATTTCCTCACACTGTTCTACCTGCAGCCCCCTTCTCAGTTGATGGCAATCCATCGGTACAGTTCCTCAGTCCAAAAACCTTGGATCAGTACCTTCCTTATAGCAGACATACAGGCTCTTATCCAGAGTTCTGAACTTTGGAGGGATTGTGCACCTTAACATACTCAAAATACACATCCATTTGGAGAGCCTACTCATTGTCGGCTCTTACTCTAGGTGCTTGGAATTCCAAATACCCTGCCTGAATGACCTCCAGACTGTTCCAGAGAGTGCATGACATCACCACTGTGTAGACTGATGTGTAAGGGATGTGGAGAGTTTAAATGTATAAGGTAAGATGTCCACATGTATGTGCTGCAGAAGGCCCCTTACCATACAATTCAGAGCCAGGGATGGGAAGAGATGGAAGGTGGGATTAGCTCTGACTTCGTTATATTCTGGCATACATTCAAACCTGGTTTTCCAGGTTCTTATTAAAGCATATATGTCAAGATAGGTGCACTTGGCACATTTTCATTTAACAAAACTTTCAAATGTTTAAATACGTGGTACCTCCCTTGTACTTCTGCCCCCAAACTACAATATGTAGACGCATGCTTGCCCTATAGTAATTCTTACTCTCAAAAGCCAATCTACCTGTTGAGTCAGGAAATCCCACTGATGCCTTCAAACTCTATCTGGATTCTGTCTGCTTCTATCTTTACCACTATGATCCAAATCACCATCATCTCCTCCTGGATTCCTGAACAATGGCCTCCTGACTTATCTCCCTAATTCTACTCGTCCCATAATCTATTTTCAACACAGAACTCAAGGTCATCCCACTTTAATTCTTGGCTGAAATGTCACCTTCTCAGCAGGCCTATCGTGATCACTCTAAAATTGCAACCGCATTAATTCTTCAAATTTTTCCCATAGTATGTATTACCTTCTAACGTACCACTGGATAATTTATTATGCCTATTGCTTATTTCAAAGGCAAAGGATCATTGTTTTTGATGTGCCCTAATTGCCTAGAACAATTCCTGGCTCAAGATTAGCAGAGATTTTAAATGGAACCAGAAGTCCACATCTGTCACAAAAAAGAGAATCAATTTGTTTAAATGCTTGGCAGATTTTTCATAATACATCCTATTTTTAAAAAGTTGTAAACTGTAACAGGACTATAAAAATGCTTGCAAAATCTCCAATACAAATATTGATGTTTCCTTTTTTTGGCCGGGGCTGGGTTTGAACCCTCCACCTCTGGCCTATGGGGCTGGCGCCCTACTCCTTTGAGCCACAGGCGCTGCCCCAAATATTGATAAGTTTTAAATACATGCCAGGCTTCTGTGA